AGAGAATAGGGGAGAGGTCCCCAAGTACGGTCCCTATACAGGCCACCAAAATGTTGCAGGTGCGATTGGCCAGTGGTGCAGGTGGTAAAGGAATTTACCAAGACAGTTGTAGGTAAAGAACAGCAGATTTATTAGAGAAGTAGGGAAACATGTTGCAAGGATGCAATGGGCAGCTGCAGAGGAGGAGCTGTCTGCAAAGAGGCAGGGGCTGGAGAGAGCTGGAAGAGCTTCTTGTGGAAAGAAGCCATGCTGCTGGGCCACTTATGGAAGGAGGTAGATGTGTCCTAGGTCTCTCAGAACAATTGTTCATTGTTCTTCTCCACCTGGGGCCCTTTTCTCATTATTGCTTGCATATCTTATCAGAACTCCACAAACTCTGCTAATCCTCACCACTTGAATGACCCTGGGGAAGAGAAGACCATTGCATTGAAATGTAACAGTTATGAAATTGCTTTCAAAATTCAGCAAGAAATAATAATTTTGCTTGCCATTGTCCCATACGAAACTTGCCAAGGCCAATTGTCATTTTATTCTTCATTGCCTATGCTTTCTGCCTGTATAGAATGAGGGATCTGTAAGTACTTTTAGATAGTTTCTTTCAAATTGCCTGTATTTTTCTCCCGGCTAGATTAGAAATAACAACTTCTGTTTTTGAGCAACTTATGCATCTGTTTTTATCTCAAGGTCTCAGCAACCCTTAAGGCCAGCTCCACCTCCTACTCTACGCTCAAAAGAAATTATAATACATTCTTTTGTTCACAATAGCTACTAAACAATCACTTGTTGGCTGCAGCTTGCACTGACCCTAACTCTGAGAAGTCAAACAATTTCCTTGAATCCCTAACTTTGAGGAGCTTAACAATTTAGGAGAAATTCAAGGACAGGCGAGGAGAAGAGTGCTACTTGGGCCATCATTTTCAGGTTTTATTCACATCTTTCTTGCCTGCTAGTTTCTTTTACCTTTCATGTAAATCCCTTGGGAAGGTTTGGGGTGTTTGTGGTTTGTAGATTTGGGTTCGACTTGCATTTGACTTACTCTTGTGTTAACAAAAGGTTACACTGTAGTAGCTTCCAGGTTGCCATGACAACTGGGAAAATAAAGAGCTGATTATCACATGTTTGTTGGTTACCTTTTATAGGTGAAGGCCCGGGACAGACGGCAGCAGACCGGGATATGCAAGTGTCAAGTCTAGATCGAAGAAAACCAGTATCCCAAGATCACGGCATATTTCCCTTGAACCGAAAGAACTGATCAAGAAACACAGCTAGGTTGGTATAATACTGTGTGGGTAGAAATGGGGAGAAGTAAAAGCAATTTCTTTAATGTTGTGTTTGCCATTGTAGCATATAGAATTCTTGGTGTTTTTGTATTACTTATTCCTTTTGATATTCCAATTTGTGTACGTACTATGAGTCCTATTTATACCTTTACAGGTTTGGGGTTCCTGATACTGTTCTTTAGTTAAAGGGAGCTCCTTCTCTTTGATAATAGCTGTAAACTTATTACTATCTTATACATTTAGTTATTTCATACTACTAAATCCTTTTCTTAGAAACATAGTCCCGGCCGGGCGCGGTGGCTCAGGCCTGTAATCCCAGCACTTTGGGAGGCCGAGGCGGGTGGATCACGAGGTCAAGAGATCGAGACTATCTGGTCAACATGGTGAAACCCCGTCTCTACTAAAAAATACAAAATTTAGCTGGGCGTGGTGGCACACGCCTGTAGTCCCAGCTACTCGGGAGGCTGAGGCAGGAGAATTGCCTGAACCCAGGAGACGGAGGTTGCGGTGAGCCGAGATCGCGCCATTGCACTCCAGCCTGGGTAACAAGAGCAAAACTCCATCTCAAAAAAAAAAAAAAAAAAAAAAAAGAAAAAGAAAAAGAAACAGAGTCCCTTGGTCACTCCTTCCTTGTTATTTTATTATACCTATTTTTTTAATTTTTTTTTTTTTTTTAAGACGGGGTTTCACCACGTTGGTCAGGTTGGTCTTGAACTCCTGACCTCAGGTTATCCTCCCGCCTTGGCCCCCAAAGTGCTTGGATTACAGGCGTGAGCCACCATGCCCAGCCTATTTTCTTTTTTTGAGACCAAGTAGTCTCTTTCTGTTGCCCAGGCTAGAGTACATCGGTGCAATCTCAGTTCACTGCAACCTCCACCTCCCGGGTTCAAGCGATTCTCCTGCCTCAGCCTCCTGAGTAGTTGGATTTACAGGCCCACACTACCACGCCCAGCTAATTTGTTTGTATTTTTTTTAGTAGAGATGGGGGTTTCACCATGTTGGCCAGGCTGCTCTCAAACACCTGACCTTGTGATCTACCCGTCTTGGCCTCCCAAAGTGCTGATATTACAGGTGTGAGCCACAGCGCCTGGCCCAGTACACCTATTTTCTTACTGTTATTGTACTTATTTAAAAATTAGATATTTGTAATGCTTAGGCAGGATGAGGTTTTGTCCATTTATTCAAAATATATGTATGAAACCTTATTACCTGCCAAAAATACCAGCAAATGGTGAAAAGTAAAATGAACCGAGTGGAGGTAAGATTCACTTGTTTGCTGGTGTGCCCCATATTTTTCTGTTATTCGGACAATTTGTTTTTGACTCTGTTCTGTCTTTAATCACTGCCTTCTGCATTCACCCTGAATTTACTCAGCTTTAACCATCATCTTTTATAAACTTTCCAAGTACCCTAAGACTTTTAACAGTGGCATTTAGGAGATCTTGATACTAGCCTGAATTCTGCTGGTATCTAATTATGTGCTATTAATCTCTTTGGAATTTTATCCAACTGTAAAATAGAAATGATTTACCTGCTCTACAAGAGAGCAATGAAAGATAGGCTATTTAAACCTGCATTTATTCATAAAATAATTTAATAAGTATTTACCAAATGCTTATGAGTACAGAAATTGTGTCCAGGGAGATATTCTGAGGCACCTCATTTTTACTTAAACAGAAGGGCAGAGGAATCTTGGCTTTGCCACTTAGTAGTTTTAACGTGAGTTACCCCTCTGGGCTTTCGTTTCCTCCTTTGAAAAGTGGGCATTGTGATGGTGCCTACCTCACAGAATTATTGTAAACTTTAAATGCAATCATATATTTAAAGTGATTAGGACAGTACCTCGCACATAGTAAGTGACCAATAAATGGTAGCTATTAGCAATCTGTCTTATATCAGGAACGGAGACTCCTAATCATCCTGATGTCTGGAATTTAAGTAATCTAATTCTGTCTAATGTAATCAAGTTTGTCTTATTCTATTCCCACAATGAACAAAGAATAAATAATTATGATCTTACATGTCATGACTTGTCATGAACTATCTCAAGACTGTCCCATTATTTTAAGTTCACCACTGGCTAGCTGAGCAGGGTTGATGATTGAACCACTGGAGATAAGTATGTGAAAACATTTTGTAGGCTGGGTGCGGTGGCCTGTAATCCCAGCACTTTGGGAGGCCAAGGCGGACAGATCACTTGAGGTCAGAAGTTCCAGACCTGCCTGACCAACATGGAGAAACACCGTCTCTACTAAAAATACAAAATTAGCCGGGCTTGGTGGCGCATGCCTGTAATCCCAGCTACTTGGGAGGCTGAGGCTGGAGAATTGCTTGAACTTGGGAGGGTGAGGTTGCAGTGAGTCAAGATTGCTGAAAGATCATGCCATTGCACTCCAGCCTGGGCAACAAGTGTGAAACTCCGTCTCAAAAAATAAAAATAAAAATAAATAAGAAGAAAAATTTCGTAAACTGTATAGTGCTATACCAGTGTTATGAATTTTTTTTTTTTTTTTTTTGAGACGGAGTTTCGCTCTTGTTGCCCAGGCTGGAGTGCAATGCTGTGATCTCGGCTCACCGCAACCTCCGCCTCCCGGGTTCAAGCGATTCTCATGCCTCAGCCTCTTGAGTAGCTGAGATTACAGGCATGTGCCACCACACTCAGCAATTTTTTTGTATTTTTAGTAGAGACGGGTTTTCTCCGTGTTGGTCAGGCCAGTCTCGAACTTCAGACCTCAAGTGATCTGCCCGCCTCGGCCTCCCAAAATGCTGGGATTACAGGCGTGAGCCACCGTGTCGGGCCGATATTTGTTTTAAGAAAAGTCTTACTGCTTTAACTCAAATCTTGTAAATTAGCTGAGGTCTTTGTTTTTTTATATGAAAAGATGTGAGGAACCAGATTAAATATAATGTAAAAATACACACGGTGGCTGGTCACGGTGGCTCACGCCTGTGATCCCAGCACTTTGAGAGGCGGAGGCGGGTGGATCACCTGAGGTCAGGAGTTTAAGACCAGCCTGGCCAACATGGTGAAACCCCGTCTCTACTAAAAATACAAAAACTGGCTGGCTGTGGTGGTGGGTACCTGTGATCCCAGCTACTCAAGAGGCTGAGGCAAGAGGATTACGTGAGCCGAGACTATGGCCACTGCACTCCAGCCTGAACAACAAGAGCGAAACTCCGTCTCAAAAAACACCCGCCGCCAAAAAAAACAAACAAAAAAACCCACACTGTACAATTATGGTTAAAAAAAATAAAGAAACCACACTGAAAACAGTAATTAGTTTGCCAAATGAGCTCAATTAGGTTACCGCCTTAGCAAGCCTCTTGGGGACCAAGTGGCCTCTAAGCACCTAGGTAGTAGTATCTTTTCTTTTCCTTTTCAGACTTTTGCTTTTGTAAAATTACAAAGGTGTAGTGTGTCTGCTGTTACAGGACGGAAAAAATGCATCATAGGAGGTTAGAAGCTTGTTGGCCTCCCTCATAAAGGGATGATGAGAAAACCGAGTACCAGGCATAGAGCAAAAAGGAACTCACTCTCCTCCCAACGCTTTCATTTCTAAATAATGCTTATGGAAACCATGCCAGGGTTTAGCAAAAGAAAAGAGGCACAACCACGGCGGGTGGGCTTTGGGGAAAGAGGAAAGCTGGCGGGACATGGGGAAAGAAGCGACTTCTTTGCGCATGCGCCACTGGGAAAGCTGACAAAGGCGCGTGAGTGACGTCATTGAGCGTCACAATCCTCGTGGTCTCGCTAGAAGAGTACCGCCGGCTCCGAGGAGCGGGACCCAGCTGATCGTCGAAGGCGGCAGGTTGTAGTTTTTGCTTTGTCCCGAGAGGCTTACCATGAATTGCCAGGGCTGGAAGAGATGAAGAGGATATGCGGCGGTGACAGGTTAAATTCCCCAGTTACATTATAGAGTTGGAGGTGGGGGACCTTCTCATTGTTAGAGACCCCTGTCATGGGAGATAGGCGGTTCGGCCAGTCCTGCCTAACTTTGTGTTCACTGATGTTAGGCATGCTAGGGCTGCAAAGGTGGGCACCCCCACTCATCTAAGACCTTTCTCCCCTCTTCTCTTTTTCCCCTTTGCCTCTCTTCTTACATCATCTGCCACTTAGTCGGCTTTCCTTGTGTGAACTGGAGCCGGAAAACCTTGAGAACTTATTCTTCGATCCAGACATGGCGCAGGAGAAAATGGAACTAGATTTCAAGCTGCCGCCGACTTCCACCACCTCGGACAGCAACATTGTGGGAAGAGTCAGCAGTGCCCCTTTGATCAATGGACTTGGGTGAGCCTGGTTGAGATACTGGAGGAGGCAAGCAGGTGGGGAGGAGGTGCTCAGTAAAGTGATTTCCTATAGAATTCCCGTCCCTTTATTTGTTGAGGTTCTGCAGGTATCTCCCTTGTTCCTGGTGTCCAGAAATCCCAACCTCAACCTTCGGTGGGGGTAGTGGGATGGGCTGACCTCAGGGAGAGTGCGCATCCACCCTGAGGTTGACAAATATCTAAACCTGAATGTCCTCTCCTGACAGTCCACCCGGACCCGAAAGCAGCAGCCAACTGGTGTGGATCAGGACTTTTTTCTAACTTCAGCCCATTTCTTACCCACTCCTTTGAAGAAATTTAGCATCCTCCCCCACTCACCTCCAGATCTTCTGCCATGACTCTTAATATTTGTCATTTCGGCTGCTTTGTCACCTCTGACCTTCACCTACAGCCTCTCGAATGAAAATGGTTGTCAAGCAAATAAGCTTTGGACTTTTTTACACACACACACACACACACACACAAACACACACACATTTGAGCCAGAGTCTTGTTCCATCGCCTAGTCTGGAGTGCAGTGGCACGATCTCAGCTTACTGTAATCTCCACCTCCCGGATTCAAGCGATTCTCGTGCCTCAACCTCCCTAGTAGCTGGAATTACAGGAGCCCGCCACCACACCTGGCTAATTTTTTGTATTTTTAGTAGAGACGGGGTTTTGTCATATTGGCTGGGCTGGTCTGGAACTCCTGGCCTCAGGTGATCTGCCTGCCTCAGCCTCCCAAAGTGCTGGGATTACAGATGTGAACCACCAGGCCCTGCCTACATATATTTTTTCTTGGAGCAAAAAGTTTTGATACCACAGAAGCTCGATCTCCTAAATTACACATTCATGCTGGGTGGTAACTCCCCAAGGGTGGAGAAAATAGTTCTTGGGGGAGTGTGAAAAATTTTTGCTCTTTTTATGTATACAGATCTACATACAGTACATACACGTACATAGTACATATGTGTTATTAAAATTTCATGGGGGAGCAGTTGGGGAAAATGTCTAAAGAGACTTTTTAGAGGGTCAATAATGGAAAAAGTATTTTAAAACACTGCACTAAGTGATGATTAACTGTATTTCTGAAGGTCTAGCATTACTAAATCTTATTTCTTAAACTGGAGTTTTAAAATGAGATTTTGGATCTCACATTTCAGTATATAAGACTTTCTAGATATTGTAAAAATATCTGAATAACGGCATTCACTACATACGTTACTAACTTTGCTCCTCACCTTTTGTGGCATCATACTAATTGATAGTTGTAATTCACAATACCATAGACCAGGCGTCCCCAAACTACAGCCCTCGGGCCGCATACAGCCCCCTGAGGCCATTTATCCAGCCCCCTGCCGCACTTTAGGAAGGGGCACCTCTTTCATTGGTGATCAGTGAGAGGAGCACAGTATGTGGCGGCCCTCCAACAGTCTGAGGGACAGTGAACTGGCCCCCTGTGTAAAAAGTTTGGGGACATCTGCCCTAGACTATCAGGAAGGGATTCAGAGACCAGCTTTACCCTCCTCATTTAACGTATGAGCAAACTGAGACCCATAAATCTCCAAAATGACATGTTTAGCGGCAGAACCAGTACTAGGAACCTCTGTTTCCTGACTCCTAAACGACTGTTCTGTCCACTGCTAACCAATATCTAAGCTGATTAACTCTAAATAAATGCTGCTTTGGGGTCATTTGAAGTAGGAGAAAATATATTGTTCACAAAGTGAAAAGCAAACAAAGATTGACTGGAAGTAAATACATTACCTTTTTAAAATAGGCTGGCAGAAAAGCATAGAACGGGGACTCTGCATGTTGTGCTGAGAACAAGAACATTTTATACACTCAGGATTTTGCTCTAATCCTTTTGTGGCAATAAAGGAATTAAGGGATCCATTCTACTAGGAGAAGAGAGCGTAGGGAGAATGCTGGCTTTATTGAAGACAATGTAAAAAGAAGAAATAGGTTGCAAATAGATGATGGAGGATGTTGACTTGAAAGAACCTTTAGATCCTATTTAATGTATTAAATACACCAGAAAAGGCGTGGGGTTTTTTTGTTTTTTTTTTTTTTTTTTGCTTTTATCATATTAGAGCATAGCTACAATGTTGGATTCCATAGCTTAAAATCCTGATGCATGAAGTAAAATTTGTACAGAATGTTGAGAGTCACTAGCATATTTCTTTACTAGGAGTTTAAAGATATAGAAGCCACAAAGTGGACAGAGTCCAGGGACTCTAGTCCATCAGAAAGAAGTAACATAGGAATGATGTGTGACGTGCCTGAGGTCAGGGAACTTGCCCAAATGATCTAAGGGCATTTTTTGTGCTGTTGTAGAAAATGTAGGGTGTGGTCGGAAAAGTTATTCTGAAGCAAGAAAAATTTCGGATTACACTGAGCCTTAGTTGAATTCCTTTTTACCTCAGTTCTCATTTGCATATGTATACTGCTCACTTTTCTCTTTTTTTTTTTCCTTCCTTGGCCCTCTAACACTAGTGTACTCCCTCTTCCTAATCTATACCTGGTAGTAAAGCATTATTTTCAGGAAGGTGAGAGTCACTAGCATATTTCTTTAGTAGGAGTTAAAGATATCGTCCATCAGAAAGAAGTAACAGGAATGATGTGACATGCCTGAGGTCACCGAACTTACCCAAATAATCTGAGGGCACGTTTTGTGCTGTTGTAGAAAAAATTAGCTTGCTAAACGTTGCACCTCTTTCAAGTAGTTTTCGAACTTTGCTTACTGTTTCTTCTATATAAGGACCCTCTAGCACCAGTGTTTGCAGAATTAAATTCCTTACATTTGTTTCTTTGATGTCAACTCTTTTCAATACAGTGTTAACTGTTTCGAAGAAGTTTCTGCACTGTTTTGTGTATATCTTGTACTAATAAAAATTCCAGTGTCAAAAGTTTCGAACCTCTTGTTTCTTTATACTCTTTATCTCTGTAGGTGACTGACTTTATTACTGGTGTCTAACTATATTTAAAGCTAGGAGTTTTTTTTACTTCTCTTTCTCTGACCATTATTCAAAGACTCAGAGATTAGGTTCTTGTATTCCTGCCAGTGTCTCCCTACCTTAAAAACCTCTACCTTGATACTGCATTTAAACTGTTACTTCCTCAATTCTTTTTTTTTTTTTTTTTTTTTTTTTTTCTGAGATGGAATCTTGTTCTGTTGCCCAGGCAGGAGTGCAGGGGCGCAATCTCGGCTCACTGCAACCTCTGCCTCCTGGGTTCAAGCAGTTCTCCTGCCTCAGCCTCCCAAGTAGCTGGAACTACAGGTGTGCACCACCACACCCAGGTAATTTTTGTATTTTTGTTAGAGACAGGTTTTCACCATATTGGCCAGGCTGATCTCGAACTCCTGACCTGGTGATCTGCCTGCCTTGGCATCCCAAAGTGCTGGGACTGTAGGCATGAGCCACCGCACCTGGCCCTCAATTCTATTTGAAAGGCAAATTACTGTCCCAAAGCCAAATCCAGCCCATCAACTGACTTTGCAAATAAAATTTTATTAGAATGGAACCATGCCCATTTATTTACTTATTATCCATGGCTACTTTCCCACTGCAGTGGCAGATCTGAGGAGTTGCAACAGATACTATATGGCCCACAAAGCCTAATATGGCCCTTTGCAGAAAAAGTTTGCCCACCCTCTGGTTTATTGAACTCCTAGGAACGTGGAAGAATAGCAGCCATAAAAAATTATTGCTTTGGGAATATTATGACATAAATCTATTATAGTTTAGACAGAGCTGTTTATTGATCATTTGATGTGGAACGTTGAACATCCATCCAGTTATATACTACCTCTGCTTTTTCCAAGTTAGAAGTAGCACTTAGCTCAGTTCAGATATCACCTAGGGTTTTATAAATTCATGTTGAATGATGCATACCAGTTGAAGTATATGCTGCCTGAATTCTTTCTTTCAGTTATAGTCTTACTAAAATTGGCAAACAAATTTAGGGGCAAATATATCATTGCCAGCCCTAAGAATTAGGCCCCCTACACACATACGCGAAAGAGAGTGGAAAGAAATAGCCCATTACTGTCCCTCCAGTTTTCTTATAAGTGACTGCCAGAACATATTCCTATTCTCACAAAGAAAATGACTGGGAATAGAAGTAAAATTAGATACATCCATATACCTTCTCATTCACAAAATATTGAATTACAATCTGTTGTATGCAAATTATTATGTTGCAAAGCTGTATCTCAGGGCTCAATAAGCTTTAATAGGGAATATAAATACTCAAAGGACTTGAATGTGCTAAAGAAAGTGCTAGGGGAATTCATAGAAGGGAGGGAGGAGAAGGTGGCATTTGAGATGGGCCTTCATGGATTGATAGGATATACCCTGGAAGAGAGGGGGGCCAATGGTTGGGATAGCATTTTAAGTATTACATACACAACAGACTTGAAGGCAGAAAAGCATAGATGTATTCCAGAGAACCGAATGGTCCACTTTGCCTGAAACCCTGACTCCCAAATGTTCATCTGCTGATCAGTGCTGATCTCAGATGAAGTTTTTACCAATCCATGCTTTTAGAGAAGTTAAGTACGGCATAATTAAAGATGTCATTATATAGTTGTTAATTGTCCTTCCTGGGCAGGGCTGTACTGTACTCTGAGACTGTTATTCTCTTATTTTTTAAATACCAAAATGTCCTTTTACAAATGAAATGATGGTGTTGGTCAGTGGTGGGATTTTTTTTTTTCTTTTTTTTTTTAAGACAGTCTCACTTTGTCACCCAGCTGGAGTCCAGGGGCACCATCTTTGCTCACTGCAACCTCTGCCTCCCAGGTTCAAGCGATTCTCCTGCCTCAGCCTCCTGAGTTGCTGGGATTACAGGCGCGCGCCACCATGCCCAGCTAATTTTTGTATTTTTAGTAGAGATGGGGTTTCACCATATTGGCCAGGATGGTCTCGATCTCTTGACCTCGTGATCCACCTGCCTCGGCTTCCCAAAGTGTTGGGATTACAGGTGTGAGCCACTGCACCTTGCCAATGGTGGAATTAAAAAAAAAAATGACTTGGCAAAAGAAAGAAGTGGCAATGTATGTTTCTGCCTAGATTTTGTTTTGAAATTGTACTTGTCCGTGAAATTGAAGAGTCTGTAGCCAAACTGTGGAGGGCTTTGAATGTCATCGTAAAGAACATAACTGAATCTGACAGGCACTGAAGAGAGTCACTGAAAGTTGTGAGCAAACTGTTCTTTAAGCAGGTGCCCCCGGTAGTCTGTTAGATAGCCTGGAGAAGGGAAAGAAGAGAGGCAAGGAGCCCAATTAGACTATGGCAGTCAGTCTGCAGAAAAGGAAAAAGGCCTTGAATTGGTTTTTGGCAAGGAGCCTGAAAAGAATCAGGTGGATATCAGAGAGGGCGAGTATAGAGGTACAATCTAAAATACTGGCAGTTGATTGGCTATAGGCAGCTAAAACAAAAAAGGGGTACAGATGATTTCTCATCTAGGAGGAACCTGGATGCAGGGTGTATGCGAACCATCTGTATTCTTTTTGCAACTTCTTGTGAGTCTCAAATCGTTTCAAACTAAAAAGTTATAATAAAAAGGAAAAGATGCCAGGCACAGCTGGGATCTGTGATCATGGCTACTTGAGAGGCTGAGGCAGGAGCATTGTTGAGCCTAGGAATTTGAGGGCAGCCTCAGGAGTTTGATAGCAGGACCACGTTTCTGAAAAAAAAAAAAAAAAAAAAAAAAAAAAAAAAAAAAAAATGACATGATGATTTCTTCGGGATTACAAGGTCAAATAGGATTCACTTGGGTGGGCAACCATCAAACCTGAGGACACAGATCCATCTTCAGTGGGCTGCAGCTGCACAACTTCAGTCCATTGTTATCATGGGAATGTGGCCCAGCGTTGCAAAATCTTGCAACTTTTCAATAGAAGCCAGAAAGTTGGAATCTGGGTTTTTTCTTAATGTGAAATCTCACAGTGTACAAAACAAATTCAAAAACATTTTTAACACTGTGTAGGCCAAACAAAACACATCTGTGAAAAATCTCAGTTTCATCAACCCCTGCTATTGGTTATTCCTCTTATTCCTGTGACACTTTGGGAGTTGAGAGGGAATTGGTATTTGCACATTGTTGCTCTGACCATAAATTTAAATCATTTACAGGTTTACACTGAAAACGATGTATTTCCAAGGTCACAATAAATTATACTTATTCTCTGTAGCATGATTAGAAGTAAAGTAGTGTGCTAGAGAATTCCTTACCTTATATGGAGACTTGTTTAGGCTCAGCCAACTAAGGCCTTGTGTGTGTGTGTGTGTGTGTGTGTGTGTGTGTGTGTGTGAGAGAGAGAGAGAGAGAGAATTTCTACCTTTGCACAGCTTGCCTTTACCCTTAGTGTTTAAGTATTTGAAATCTGCTTTAAAAGATTTTTGTAATGGATTTTATATAACAAATGTTTTTCTTTTTAGTTTTAATTCACAGGTGTTGCAAGCTGACACATTAAGAGTTAGGACAAACAGAAAAACGTTTGGGAATCAACATTCTCTGGTAAGAAAATGCTTATAGTGGCCTCCCTGTCCAAGATTGGTGCTTATTGGTCTTAACTAATGGTCTTCAAACATGAGCATTCACAGGGAGGGCTTATTAAAACACAGATGGCCAGCGGGAGTCTCACCCCCAGGGTTTCTGATTAAGTAGATCGGGGGTGGAGCTTGAGAATCTGCGTTTCTAACAAGTTCCCACTTTGAGAAACACTGCTCTAAACATTACTGAAGGAAAAATAAACACACTGACTACGGTTATGATTGCTGCAGCTGCAACAGAATTAATTTTTAAATCCCATATGGATTTAACATTGAGATTTTATGTATAAGACCATCTGGTTTCCAGTTTTTTTAAAGAAAATTCTAACTTTGAGAGGAAAATTTGCAGACTCTCCTAAAAGTAGTTTTCAGGCTTTTAGTTAGACTTTTATCTCACATTTATCTTGAATTGTAAATAAAATTTGCTTTTCATGGTGTTATAATGTAATCTCTAAATTATAACTCTTTTCTACTAATTATCCTGTAAACATAGGGAATATACTTGTAGATCAGTAAGCCAAAGTGAATACATGATTCATTATATGATTTTTTTTTTTTTTTTTTTTTTGAGATGGAGTCTCTCTCTGTTGCCCAGGCTGGAGTGCAGTGGCTTGATCTTGGCTCACTGCAACTTCTGCCTCCCAGGTTCAAGCAATTCTCCTGCCTCAGCCTCCTGAGTTGCTAGAATTACAGGTGCCCACCACCACACCTGGCTAATTTTTTGTATTTTTTTAGTAGAGACGAGGTTTCACCATCTTGGCCTGGCTGGTCTTGAACTCCTGACCTCAGGTGATCCACCCACCTCAGCCTCCCAAAGTGCTGGGATTACAAGCGTGAGCCACTGCACCTGTGATTTTTTTTTTTTTTTTATTGAGATGAAATCCACATAACATTCAATTAACTATTTTAAAATATACAATTCAATGGCATTTGGTGCATTCACATTGTTCACCCACCACTTCTGTCTGGTTCCTAAAGTGCATATCCTTGTATCCTTGTCTTGTTCCTCATCCAAGGAGGGGAAGCTTTCAGTCCTTCACCATTGAATATGATATTAGCTGTGAGTTTTTAGTAACTGCCCTTTATCATGTTAAGGAAGTTTCCTTTTACTTGCTGAGTATTTTCCCTTTTCCTTTCCTTCTTTTTTTTTTTTTTTTTTTTTTTTTTTGAGACAGAGTTTCACTCTTTTGCCCAGGCTAGAGTGCAGTGGCACAATCTTGGCTTACTGCAACCTCTGCCTCCCAAGTTCAAGCGATTCTCTCACCTCAGCCTCCCAAGTAGCTGGGATTACAAGCACCCACCACCCTGCCCAGCTAGTTTTGTTTGTTTGTTTTTTGTTTGTGTGTTTTTTTAGTAGAGACGGGGTTTCATCATGTTGGCCAGGTTGGTCTCAAACTCCTGAACTTAGGTGATCCGCCCGCCTCAGCCTTCACAGTGCAGGAATTACAGGCATGAGCCACTGCACACGGCCTAGTGTTGATTCTTTAAATGTTTGGTGGAGGCCGGGTGTGGTGGCTCACGCCTGTAATCCCAGCACTTTGGGAGGCCGAGGCGGGCAGATCACGAGGTCAAGAGATCGAGACCAACCTGGTCATCATGGTGAAACCCCGTCTCTACTAAAAATACAAAAAATTAGCTGGACACGGTGGCGCGTGCCTGTAATCCCAGCTACTCAGGAGGCTGAGGCAGGAGAATTGCCTGAACCCAGGAGGCGGAGGTTGCGTTGAGCCGAGATCGCGCCATTGCACTCCAGCCTGGGTAACGAGAGCGAAACTCCGTCTCAAAAAAAAAAAAAAAAAAAAAAAAAAAAAAATGTTTGGTGGAGTTCAGCATTGAAACCATCTGACATTTCTTTGTTGGGAGGTTTTTTATTACCAATTCTATTGCTTGTTATAGGTCTGTTGAGATTTTCTCTTTCTTCTTGAGTCAGTTTGGTAATTTATATGTTATGTGTTCTGTATTATAGATTTCTCTTATGATTTTTTAGTGTGATAAAATCTATCGAATACATTTTAGTGAAATATTATAGCTTGATACCAATTTTAAAATATTGCTCACTAATCATGAAACTAAACATTTTCCTCTTCATACATTTTGATCCTCAATATTATTCCCACAAATGCATTAATATTATAGTGGGAGAAATTAGAACGGTTCATTAAATGAATCTTTCTTCTTTCCACTTAGTCATTTACTCAGTCATTTACTCATTCATTCAACAATATTTGTTGATCACCTGCTCACCTCTCAAAGCCTTCCATACCTATCCAGTCCTTTTTTTTTGAGATGGAGTCTGGCTTTGGTGACACATATTTGCTCACTGCAACTTCCGCTGCCCGGGCTCCAGTGATTCTCCTGTCTCAACCTCCCAAGCAGCTGGGACTACAGGTGCCCACCACCGTGCCCGGCTAATTTTTGTATTTTTAGTAGAGATGGGGTTCCACCATATTGGCCAGGCTGGTCTCAAACTCCTGACCTCATGATCCACCCACCTCGGCCTCCCAAAGTGCTGGGACTACACATGTGAGCCACCAAGTCTGGCCAAATTTTTATATTTGAAAACACTTTCAGTTGAAGGAGGAGTGGGGTGACATGAAGCCAGATTTGACTGGGTTGAAGAATGACTGAGACGGGAGGACCTATAAATGGCACTGTACGGCCGGGTGCGGTAGCTTACACCTGTAATCCCAGCACCTTTGGAGGCTGAGGTGGGCAAATTACCTGAGGTCAGGAGTTCGAGACCAGCCTGCCCAACATGGCAATTACCGCATCTCTAAAAATACAAGAATTAACCAGGCATGGTGGCAGGCACCTGTAATCCCAGCTACTCGGGAGGGTGAGGCAGGAGAATCGCTTGAACCTGGTAGGTAGAGGTTGTAGTCGCGCCACGGCACTCTAACCTGGGCAACAGTGAGAGACTCCATATGAGAAAAAAATGTGTGTGTGTTTGTGTGTGTGTGTGCATGTGTGTTTCTACATATGTAGGTAAAGCAATGTTTTAGAAACAAATCGCTGTGACAGAAGGCATTGAAGAACCATAGGTTTCATTCAACACAAAAATAAATAAAGATGCATATTTTCTAAGCATCGTTAAAAAAAAAAAAACAACTGTTCTCTCACAATCATTTTGTTTAATTAAGTGCAAATATTTTCTTCACTTCTCTCAGGAAATCACTCCACCCACTTCTGTTGAACAGAAGCCCGAAGACCTCTTCTGACATTGAGACTGCCTTCTCTCAAATCACCCTTTTGCTTTAACTCCTAACAACTCTGAAGTTGGCATGCCTGTTTCTTTCTCTCCCACCAGGAATTCTGGCACTTTTGCTCAATCTGCATGTTACTGCCTCACTTTTCCATCCCCACCCTCTCCTCTTCCAAAGGAAGCAGGGGAAATGTCTCATCTTCCTAAGAAAAAAGGTTGTGCTTTTCTTGAGCGATTCATCTGTTCTAATTTTATGCCTACTGGCATCTATCTCATTAGATTTTGCTTTTCACATTGGCAACCACAAACCCCAAATCTACTGTATGGCCCACAAAGTCACAAGCATATAGTGCATTCCTGCCCTGCTTTGTGCCCTGTGCATCCAGCCCATGTTCAGTTGGTGTTAAGTAGCATTATAGGCCACCTTAAATCATTTCTGAAACTAGGCAGACATTTATGAACATAGTGTACAGCCCTTTGTTTAGGATTTTCTGAGCATTTTATCTCTAGTTACTGTCGTTCAAGATGGCTTAAAAACAGCAAATCAAGGAAAATGAAAAATGATTTTTAAAAATCTTAATGTCTTTACAATATTAGTTTATGGTGATCTCTCTTAAATGGAACTGAGTTTGGTTTTTCCTCCTATCTTAATTCCTTCACTGTAGATAATTGTTGGGAATTAGCTTCACCCAGAACCCTCCCTAACCTCCCCCTACTTCCACTCCCAGCCTGCTTCACACCATGACATTGTTCTTTGGTGCTGATAATCTTAGTTCCTTCCAAGGACTTTTTACTCTCCTGGAGTGTGAGAGAAAGGCACAGTGGGAAATTTACACAAAAGATACCAGTGAGGTTTATTACATCTGAGGAAACTCATTATTTCTATTTTAATACTTTGTTTCGTATGGAAAAATTATCTAAGGTAATTCCTTTGCAAACGCCACTTGTAGTACTTAATTTGGGGACAATTCTCTTCCAGAAGTCTTGTTTTCTACAATTAATTTCTCACATTATTACTAAAAGAATTGGCCAATACAATGTTTGATCCACATTTTGTCCAATTAAAAGGCCTTATTCGGCCGGGCGCAGTGGCTCAAGCCTGTAATCCCAGCACTTGGGGAGGCTGAGGCGGGTGGATCACAAACAAGGTCAAAAGATCGAGACCATCCTGGTCAACATGGTGAAACCCCTTCTCTACTAAAAATACAAAAAATTAGCTGGGCATGGTGGCGCGTGCCTGTAATCCCAGCTACTCAGGAGGCTGAGGCAGGAGAATTGCCTGAACCCAGGAGGCGGAGGTTGCGGTGAGCCAAGATCGTGCCATTGCACTCCAGCCTGGGTAACCAGAGTGAAACTCCATCTCAAAAAAAAAAAAAAAAAAAAAAAAAAAAAGGCCTTCTTGTGGCTTATGATTCTGTAGCTCAAGTTCAAATCCTACCTACTTCAGACATTTCACACTGTCTCCCTGCTGGTATCATCAATTTCAGTCAATCTTCTCACGATTTCCTGGATAAAGTTTTTCAGTTGGAAATCCTAAGCCTTTGTCTGAACCTAAACTGGTTCCCTCCCATCCCTTAGGTAGTCATTAAAAATAATCTCTTCTAGGAAATCTTTTATTATTTTATGAAACAAATTTGCTATACCATGTTGTTCTCACTCATAAGTGGGAGCTAAATGATAAGAACTTATGAACGCAAGGAAACAACAGACACTGGGGTCTACTTGAGGTGGGAGGGCGTGAGGAGGGAAGCAGAAAAGATAAC